GATGGAGTTCCGTTTTATGAAGGTGATGAGGATTACATACATTCATATTACTATAAGTCAAAGGTAAATTCGGAATTCAAGATATATTTATAGGAGGCTATCCCCCCAGTAAAGATAAAAATATTTAAAACTTTAACTCTAGATATCTCAAAATATTTATCTAACCAAATTGATGAAAATTTTTTATTTGAATTCTATGGATACATAAAATTCAAAGAAAAAAGATTCATTGAATTTGATCAGGTGGTTGTCGAGATATCTTCAAAGTTGAGAAAAATCAAAACGACTATTATAAAGCTATGTCAAATTTTTAAAACTTTGAGTGAAGATATCTCAACCACCCGATCAACTTTTTTAATTGAATCCTATGAATCCATGGATTCAAAAAAAAAATAAAAATTTCACCGAATTTGATCAGGTGGTTGTCGAGACATCTTCGCTCAAAGTTGGAGAAAAATCAAAACGTCTATCAAAATAAGCTGCGACAAATTTTTTTCCTTAAAAACTTTGAGTGAAAATATCTCAACAACCATCTGACCAAATGCGACGAATCTTTTTTATTTGGATCCTTTGAATCCATAGAATTCAAATAAAAAAATTTTATCGAATTTGATCAGGTGGATTGCAGAGAAAAACAAAACGCATATCAAAATAGAAGCAGTGCCAAATTTTTTTAAAACTTTGAAGATATATTGACAACCATTTGACCAAATTCTATGAAAGTTTTTTTTTTTTTTATTTAAATTCTGTGAATCCATAGAATTCAAATAAAAAATTTTTATCGAATTTGATCAGGTGATTGTCGAGATATCTTCGCTCAAAGTTAGAGAAAATCAAACGCCTATCATAATAAATGCTGTACCAATTTTTTTTTAAACTTGAAGATATCTTGACAACCACCGACCATATTTAATAAAACTTTTTATTTAAATTCTATGGATTCATAGACTTTAAATAAATAATGAAAAAAAAAACATCGAATTTAGTCAGGTGGTTGTCGAAATATCTTCACTCAAAGTTTTAAAAAAATTTGGTACAGCTTCTATTTAATAGGCGTTTTGATTTTTCTCTAACTTTGACTGAAGGTACCTCAACAAACACCTGATCAAATTCGGTGAAACTTTTTTTCTTTGAATTTTATGAATTCACAGAATTCAAATAAAAAAAAATTCCATCAAAATTGGTTAGATAAATATCGGGATATCTTGAGTTAAAAAATTATATTTTTTACTGGGGTATGAATGCCAATGTGGGAGGTACACCAGCCCCTTTTTATATTTGTAAATAAACTTTATCTGTTAAATTTTTTCATTTTATTGAAATTAGAGTGAATTGCATGATGCGTTAGATTCTTCTGATCACGTCGCATTGTTCAAGTCAAATAAATTGGATAGGAAATGCCCTGAAATCCTTATATTTGATTTATCAGAACTGATGCCTGTTAGCCAGAAATTGGCAAAAAGCTATATGTATTTATACTTTATTTTTATTTTTATTTTATTTTGACTTTCATTGAACTCTGTTTTATTTTCAAATGTCTATAGTCTCAATGGAAATGACCCACCTGAAATTTGTAAAAAGAATGCGCAAGTTGCTGCAGACAACAATCGACCAGATTTAGAACAAGCTTGGCATCTGGCTTCTTTAATTTTAACCCAAATTATTCACAATAAACGTATGTCATCTGAACGTCTATTATTACCATTAGGAATGCAATCAAAATACGTAAGCAAACGAAGGCTTAGTAATAATAGTTATGAGGATGGATTTCCAAGCTTATTTGGAAGAGTGAATTGGGGATTCCATCCATTGGGAAGAAATATTGTACAGAATTTGTATGTGTATTATAAAGTCAAGTGATCTGTCTTTCATTATATTATATCTACTTCATTATAACTGAATGTCTCTTTATACTTACAGGTTTAATCATTTTGCTGAGTTAGGAGACATCCAAATGTTTGCTATGTTATCTTGTGTATTTCGGGAACCGTTTCCTCCACAAAAGAAGTTTGCTTGGTCACACGAACTTTATTCTAGAGTATGAATCAAAAAACATTCTATAGAAATTACCTCAAACTAAATTGGTCATAACATTAATTTTTATTTTTTTTTTAACCCCAGATTATTCCAGATTCATTAAACTCTACGATGTCACACAATATGAGTTATTATAATAATTATCCTCGATATAATGAAAGTTACTCAATACCAAATTTTGTTCGTAATCATTACCAATATGGTTACCAAACAATATCTACAACATTTGGACAAATATTTAGTGAATCTAATTCTTCCAAGGGTTCATTGGGCGTAATTAACAATCCGATTGATTCATGCAGTAATATAACTATATCCGCAACACCACCCACGCCATCGACCCTCACTTATGGAAATTCTGATGATTCCGGTGGTCCGATAATGATACCTTCGTCTAGTCATTCTTTACACCATCAGAGGAGATCTACATTCGGTGGAACATCAAAAGAATCAAATCATTTTTCTTCAAGCGTTAGTACTACTGCATCTTCACCGCGATTGCTAAGAAAAGGTAGTCCTGCTAGTTATCGGTTGGATAGTTTTGGATTTAGTTCGAATGGATATTATGGGGATAGATTTATGGATGTTGAAAAAAAAATAGAAAAAAAGAGTTCTGATGTGAACTTAGTCATGATGAATTGCGGTGAATTTGATGATGAAAGAAAGTAAATAATTTACATTATAACTTATCTCAGTTGATATCTCTCTTTAATGAATTTATCAATTGAATTTTTTACTTTAAATAGTCCACAAACTGTTACATTGTTGGATGATGATAGATCAACGACAGCATTGCATGATCAATATCGTTTAGCATATGCTGAAATATTATATCATTGGGGCCTTTATGAAGCACGTGCTGAGCTTTTGAAGTTTATGAGTTTCGTCAAAACTACAGTGGGAAGCCCTCTTGGTGAACAACAGCAACCTTTAGGTAATTTTTATATAAATAATATTAATATTCTAGCGTCAACATGTTTCAAAAAAACTTATAATATCTTATTTGAATAGAGATTGGAATACATTGCAATCAATGTGGGGCTGAAATAAAAGCAGGTTCAGAGTGTGGAAACTGTCAGCGCAAAAGAATTGGCATAAAATGCTCGGTTTGTCATCGATTTGTCAAAGGTATATAGCTATGTTTTATAACTTTTTGAAATTAAACAGGTTTTAAGGTCTAATAAAATTTATGTTTATTACAAAATTCAGGATTAACAAATTTTTGTATTATGTGCAAACATGGAGGGCATACATCTCATTTACGTGAATGGTTTGAGTCAGAAAGTGATGAATGTCCTACGGGATGTGGATGTCGTTGTATGTCGGAAAACGGAGGGTTCAAGTGTTCTAATTAAATTGTATATATATTATTTGCAAGAAATTAAAATTTAATTAATTTGTATTTTTAGAATTATAAATTCATTATGAACAAATTAAATATTTTTTCAATCCATTATTATGCTATTTGTATATTTTTAAATTCAAATAAAAAACATGCAAACTTAGGGCCAAATTAAGCAACTGTACACCTAAACTATTTTGCCTTTAATGTAAATCTAAATATATAGACGAAATTTTTTTAGCCAGGTTGCAAATAATCTATATAGTATATAAAAAAATTTAGGTTACCAAATGTTGAACTATTTGATGTCAAAATATTTTAGACTGTAAAGTTGCCGAATTTGCTATATATTATTTTTAATACGATGATTTTCCAATTTTTTGTAGAGCAATCCCAAAATCGAGTCTGAATGCATCAGAGCATTAATTAATATAGTTGTTAGACGAAAGACTAAACCTAAACCTCTAAAAAGATGAAACCTCTGACGGAACCCCAAATTCTTCTGATGAAAGACGAAACTTTAAACTTAAAATGACGAAATCTTACACTCAAAAAGGCGAAACCCTAGTGCTCTCGCTAAAATTTTCGTTGAATTAACATTCACAATTTATTCAGAGATCTGTATCCGAAATTACATGTATGCCAGCAAAAATAATCCAGTTCATAAAGAGCGCCCTTTCTTAAACCAGGCTTCCAGGATATGATCGAATACAAAGTTCTTGAGATTTTGAAAGTGAGTGTAATAAGTCAATGTTTTGAAATTACATACCGTATTTGCGCGTAATAACGCGCAAGTGCGCGTGATTTTGAGACCTTGCGCGTTATTTCGGGACGCGCATGCGCAGTAACTCGAATGATTTTGACAAATTTGGGTCACAAGAGGAAGCCCTACCTTTATTAATGAACTTCACCTGAAAAATTCGATCAAATATTGTATGTAATATGGTATATTTAAAGGGGCGCGTTATTTGGGACGCGCGTGGGCGTTATTTTGAGTCAAAAAACAAATTTTAAAAAAATGAAAGTTTCGAAATAACGCCCATGTGGCGTTATTACGCGCAAATATGGTACACTTCAATTGGAATTCTTCCTTTAAGCCTGGGAAATTCTGTAATTAGCCTATTTATTTATAAATATGTGAAGAGTACTACTGTATATACACAATCATTATTACATGAGTAACATAAAATGCAGCCGCATTAGTTTGTAAGATATTGTCTTGAAACACTATATTGTATATATAAAAATAGCTCATATCATTAATATTTTTAAATTCTAGGAAAATTTGCCTGGAAAACAGTTGAAAAAATAATTATTCTCTAAATGGTGAATAATTTATTAAAGATATTAAAACAAAACAGGTCCATGAAGAACACAGAATCTTGTTGGCTGGGCCAAAACTGATCAATTTTGCCAAAGAAGCAATTAAGTAAAAAAATACCCAGCTGTTAATTTTGTTATAGAGTGAGTTGACTAATGTTACTTAATATAATTGTTAGACGAAACCTCGAGGTTTCGCGTTGACGAAACGCGAAACCTTGTTTTGTCTTTTGACAATTAAAATCTTAAACGACGAAACGGCGAAACCTTGTTTCGTCTTTTGGAAATGGCGAAACTGACGAATACTAATGAAAGGTGACGAAACTTTCGATACTGTAAAGGATGACAAAACTAATAAAAGAAATATACAAATAAATGTTGAAGATTATGTATATAAAAAAATAAACTAATACAGAAATTTATAAAATTACAAAAAAATTTTATTGTATAAGGGAGGGGGAGGTATTATGACGCAGGTGGGTATTGTGACGCACTCACGTTTTTTGATGATATCTCGTGATACA